AGCCGGAAGATAAGATGTCGTCGAAATCGAAAGGCTTGACCTAAGGGACGTTCCGGCCCAACCCTCTGTCACTGTAAGACACCGAGTTCATTGACCTGAGACCCTACACTTATTCCATTGAGCATTGATAGCGCTATTGAGAGCGAGTCGCTGTTTATTTTTAGAAACGGAGGGATAAATAGAGTTTCTGGGAATAAGTCTCCCTGGCATTCAATACGGAGTTCTTTCCTCCAGAAGCGTGACCCGCAGCACGGTGTAGGGTATTTATTACGACCCCCTGAACGAATTCCTCGAGCAATTTATGAGAGAGGAGCCAGCTCCTCGAGGAATTACCGCTAGAAGTTCTTTGCGACACGGAAGTCGGGAAGTCGGTAGCTTATCGACTCCGCGCGGGACGTGACCATACGCAGGAAGAAAATTCTTGGGAAATTCCGAAAAGCTAAGAGGTGATGCTAATGTATCGGGGAAGAACTTAGAATGGTTGACATACGAGGGGCTGTGCTTCAAGAGCGTCTGGCAGTGTTACAAAAACCAGCCAGTTGGGGAATAGGTATCGGAAACCATTAAAGGATCCGGCCGAGATCGAAACAATGCCCTGCCTATTCTTTCGGTGGATAATGCGGAGGAATAACTTCGATCGAATCGACTCGGCAGGTAAGCAGAACACTTCTGGAATTGGTCTGCAGGGTAGGGACTCCTTTTTCCTATATTACTAGAGTGCTTTCCGGCAGCTAATCTTTTGCGAAAGAGTTGAGGCAAGGGGCGTTCCCCGAATTTTTCTCGATCACTAGAATGCGGAGCCGACGAGCTTCTAGCGGTATCGAGTTCTGTGAGCGGCGATACTCGTGCTCTTCGTTCAGCTCCACGAAGAGAGGAATTCGTTCTGGAAGCTTCAAGGAATTTCGTTCTAATATTGGGCTCGTACCGGGTACACTCACTACCGAAGCGACTTTGTAATTTGATACAAAGATTCGCTTCCAGACCGAACACTGTTTCCACGTCGCATCTATCATTAGAGAATGCGAATGCCGCCATCCAGGCCTGCGTCGAGGAGGGAATTCCGGCCCGTTCATCAGTTTCTATCATTCAGCGGTTCCTGTATAGCTTTTCTAGCTCACGCTAGTAATCCAGTGAGCGGCGCGAATATTGTAAACCCCCATTATTATGCATCGACGAAGGATGTTATCAACCGGCACGCGATGCCGTGTTCCGGGAGCGTTTCGGCACGCTAAGGCCGCATGTTCCGCGTTCCATTTCTACCGGAGAGAGCCCTGATTTGTCGAGACGATAGTTCGCGGCGCGTGGCGAGACATCGCGTACGCTAATAGATAATGAAGAGATTTTGTGAAGAGTTTACCATCGATCTAGTCCTCGCAGGATTCTCTAGAGAAGCATAGGAGCGGGATACACGAGTCTCCTAGAATGTTGTAGAGAGCGAGGGTATATTGCGAGAGCCAAAAAGTGACCCAGAAGCGCTGATTGTGAGATGCTCGGGATCATTACGCCGGGAGCCGCTGTTCCGGTGGTTATGAGCGAGAAGGCCTTGCGGAAATCGCCTGCAAAATAAGGCAGATCGTGGAACTTCTCCTCCCGAGGAAGAGGGGTTACGGCTCGCTGGGACTCCGGAGAGTTCTTTTATGACGTGTCGCTTCCAGGCTCGTCTGGTTGCCGCTCCATAGCGTAGTTCCCCTTAGGTTCTGAATGCGCTATCACATGCGTGATTGTGCGGAAAACAATTAAGTCCATGAATTTGGCACAAGGGAGCTCGTCTCGAATCTGGAACACCTCGAGTACGGATCTCGGTCTCTCTTGATTGTTCGGTCTGATTGTGAGCTCCGAGTCAGCCTTACGTCTGAGAGCATTCGCAGCCAAATCCGCGCTGCGCATGTCGAGAAATGCTTCCAACCTCTTGGAATGAATTCCCTGTTCTCGATTCGCGCGCGCGAGAACCTTTTGAATATCGTTCTGAGTTTATGCTGCAATACTCGTTTTATCGGAAGCGTCTGAAACCACGCTACCGACGCCGAGTCGACTCGAAATAGCACGAAAAATCGATTCGTCCCGGAAAGCTGAATCCCCGGCCTCGGAGAAGGCAGATCGTGGAGAACGACAGAGATTCGAAGCCGAGAGTATGACCGATCTTTCCGGAAAATCCAGAGCTCCTTCAGGCCCCAACGAGCCCCTGAAGCCTCCGGTGGAGCACGGTGTCGGCAGAAAATCACCAGCGACGGATATAATTGAAAAGGATGAAACGACGAGCTCTCACGCGCCCACTCGTCAAGGAGCGAGTGCCAGAGACCTCGCTCGACGCATTTTATACCTCGGAAGAGAGACTCGTGTTACAAACTACTTGAGCATGCAAGCTTAGGGTTTTTATCGTTAATATATTCACTAGAATCGCTTTTACAACCGTTGGCTCTGCGTCGGCCTTCGCTGCGAGTTCTATTGTTGCTCCTACTGCCGCTTTCGCGAAAGTAGATTCAATTAATTCGTGGCGTTCTATCTCGGCTTACTCGGATTGAAGAGGAGCGACATTGGCCCTCCGCTATTATGCATGCGCATGTGAATGTGTGTGCCAACCGACTTGCACTCCAATCGCTCATGCCACCCGCGATTCATTTTCTAGGCTCGCGAGGAGCTCGCGAGTTCCCCGTCTGGAAATTGTCTGCCTGCACGTTAAGCCCCGACGGAGTGGCTTCGCGGGAAAACTGGCTGACTGCCTAAATGACTGACTGAGCTAATCAGGCGGGTGAACTGGGAGCCCGGCGCGGAGCAGAGCGAGCTGGAAATTTCGACTTCATACCTAGTCCTGACTACGAGGCTGAGTCGGGAGTCGAATCGGGATGTCCCTTGGAACTTTCCTCGGAGATACGCAGGTACTACTCTGGATTCCCGGAACGGAAAAGAGGCACTTCCGGTAGGAATCTCATTCGCTCTCTCTCTCGAATCGATTTCCAGTTGATAAGAGCCTGGAATTCCCACCCTTGATTGGAAGCTGGAACTTCGAAAGACGGCTTTGGAATGTCGAGACAAGAACTCAATTATTCGACATTGAACTTCCAATTTCGACTTCGACTTTTACCGCCGCGCCGGGGTGAGCTTTCATGTTATTACTTCATTTGAAATTTTCCGTCAGGCTTGGACTTACCGATGTGATATTTTTCGGAAGCGTTGAACCTTGGCGCAACGAGAAGGTCAGAGGCGAGAACAGGCGAGAGGTTCTTAGATTCGCGTCGCGACCTCGGATCGAGAGGTTGCAATATCTGGAGAAGTGGATCTTTGATCTGGGAGATTCCGTGTCTCTATTTGGCAGAGGAGGAGTGGCAGAGCTACAACTCGGGAAAGACCCCGTCAGGGTTCGGATGTCTCTGCGAATCCTAGGGATAAGAGAGATCCCGAGCGGAGGCCCAAAGAAAGCTTTGAACTCAAACTGAGCAGTTTGTGCGGCGCGACTTTCAGCTGGATTATGTTTGTTCAGATTTCAGTGGAGGGGAGGAGGGAAACCTCGATACGAGGGATCCTCAATCCCGTAATGAGTCCGCGGTCCCGAGAGAATAGAGGACGCTCGCTCCCATCAGTCATGAAACCTGACAGAACTCCAGTCCCAAGTCCTGGTCCCGCCTGGCATAGAGACGAATCCCTGAATCAACTCCAGTCCGAAATTACGCGAGCTCAATCGCGATTGTGGGAAACGATCTTCCCGAGTGCGCTACTGGCTCGCATAATTTTTTTCCCGCGCACCCTCAAGTTAGAGGTGAGACGCTGCCGGGAAGGTTCTCGACCGCCCGAGTGCGGTCCGGCCATGCGCCGATTGAGCCTTCGATATCCTGAAGGCTGAAACTTTCTTCGGTGAAGCTCAGGAATGTAGGGCAGGCGCATCGGTTGTTTTGTTTCTGGTCGCCAAAGTTCGCGAGAGTCTCTCTCCGACGCGGCCTTGACGTCTAGTACAAACACGGAGGCCTAAACACAAGAAAAAGTTGCCTTGAACGAGGAAACGAGGTTCGCGAGGAACGAGGTTCGCGAGGAAACCCAGATCTCCCAGGTGAGCTCACTGAACTATTTCGAACTCGCTGTTTGCTTGGCGAGGAAGTGTTGGAGCGTTGCTCCGTCGTGCTCGACTTCTCGAATGATCGACATCGTGGTTGAGTGGAGCTCCTGGCAGAGGCTTACCGTGTTTCCCATCTTTCCCACTCACTCTGGTCGAGGAACGCCGCCGCCTGGTGCTCGCGAGCGTGTTCGTAGGGTCGGATGACTTCTTTTTGCGCAGAGATCCTAGAGATTATCCATGCGAGATCGGCGTAGACTGCTGAGGGAGATACGAGGAGGGGGATCGTTTCGATCGATAGGGACGAGCGTCAAAAGTGGCCTGAGGAGCGGACTGTAAGACGAGTAGAATCTGAAGCTCGCTACCTATACTCCTTTGTCCTCCGTTGCGAAACCTCCCCCCGAGGAGCTAACTTTCAAAGGATCGGGTATCAGACGGGGTTCACTGGAGCCATGAGGGGACTCAACGCTCGGTCTCACATTATGTTTCACCGGCGAGTGCAATCGATTGGAGCATATGATTCCATATTCCCTCCCTTCCCTCTCTCCGCTGGAATTTTATCACGGAATCATTACGGTTTAGAAGGTGAATCGCCGGAGAGCGCCTTTTGCCCTGGGCATACCGAGAGCGAAAACCTCCCCTTGCGGGGGTTGGCCGCTGCATTATCCTTCGATCAGCGATCCGCGATCATGAGAGCGGGCGGTAACGCGCAATTTCGCGGAAATCGCTTCCGTCATGGGGGGATACCGACGAGACGTTGAATCAGTCTCAACTGTCTTGGCAAGGAGTCAGCAGGATCTGGATCAGGACGGGAAAGAGACGTGGCGGCTAATGCGACCCTCGCCTTCGCCCTCACCCGCGGGAACTTGGGCTTTATATAGGTCCCCTGAAAGAAAAAAGAATCACCAGTCTAGCTTGTAGAGTGCACGTGCAGGACTTTCCTCGCAATGAATCTCAGAGTTCCCCCTCCACGATCTGATCCCTAGGCAATTTTTGCTTCGAGCAGCTGGAAGACCGAACCGGAGACTCAGTGAACCGCCCCATCATCGTTCATCATGTACGTCGACCTATCGGTACCTCCGGTGATCGAACCGAAAAAGAGGCACAGTGAACCTTACACAGAGTACTCGGTGTGCCAAAGCTTGTGCGTTCCAAAAAATGACTCCATGCACTGTTTATCGGTGCCCGACCTCAGTACTTCACCGCATCAGCTGTTCAAGGAGTTCTGCTCCGATACGCCGAGAGTCGCGTCAAACAATCTATCGCCCCCGAGCCGCTCACCGGCGTCGTCTACGTCGGGAAGTCCGAATCGGATATCGCGCCACAGAAACAAACAGACGAAAGGAAGACGGAGATCTCTCGGAGTACCCGGTAGCCGATCTCCGAATGGCCGCAGTTTATGGAAGGAGCTCGATGAGGACCCGTGGGCCGAGTTCCATCGGAAACGCTCTCCCGGCGCGGCACGATCGCCCAGATCTCATCTCGAACCGCCGACGGGCTACAGGTGTCGCTCGTTTTCCATAACGTCGAAAGGGAACGTCTTGAATCTCGGTGATGTGGTTCTGTCGAATCTCGAAGAACGCCGACGGAGTACCAGCTCCTGCACGGAGGATCCCGAGGACACCGGACCCCCTCTGTTCCGCGTGAGACTCATCGGAAGTCCAGGAGTGGGGAAATCCTGTCTCATTCGGCAGTTTATAGAAGGCTGCACCGACACCGTCAACGAGGAGGGTCATCTAGAAATTAGTGAGTGCCACTCGAGCTCGAAATAATCCGCAGCTTCGTTTGCGAGCGGGCGAGCAAACCGATTTCCCGCCTCCGGCTCAATAGATAAGTGGTTTCTTGCGCGGGAGGCTTTCAGCTCCGATGCCTCGACTTATCCAGGATATCGGTTCTTTCCGGTTAATTATGGGCCCTAGACATTGTCGTTGGTGTTTTTTCTGTCGGGGGAGTTCCACGGGCAGAAGTCGGAATAGGCAAAGACCTTGTATGTGCTCAGTGCACACCGGGGCTCCTGGAGCAATTCCCTAGCGTAGAGGGGATAATTGATTTTTTCTATCGCTACGAAGTCCCTCATCCATAACTCGACTGTGTTGTTCCGTAGTTACGAGCCCGCCACCGTCAGCGAGGAACAGCGTGGATACTCAATCGACGCGAGTAATGCTCGACGGCGAGGAATTCGAGGTCGAGTTCGATGAAACCACCGATAGCGTGGTACGCAAGAAATTCACGATTTCCTTAGTTAGCCAGAAGTGTGCCTCTTCATCCGCGCGAGCCGCGCGTTCGCGGGGAGAGGAATCTCTTATCTGCGTTCCCGCGAGAGCTCGCCAGATCCCAACATGGACTCTCCTCGGCACAGATTTTCGTTGCGGACTCGGTCGAGCCAGTTACTTCTCTTCGGAGCGAGTTGAGCAATCCTGCGAGCGACCAGCTGCAATTCGATTCCGATTTTTTCCTAACTTCTTCCGCTCGTCTCTCCGCCAGATAACAAAGCAGCATATTGAAGAGATAGACGCATTTGTAGTTGTCTACTCGATAACAGACCGGGAAAGTTGGAATTTCGCCGAGGACGCCATCTGCGAGCTTCGTACGCTTTGCGGCTATACGAAGGGACGTCGGAGATCGTCAACGACGAGCAGCACGCTGAATCGCCCGATAACGAAAACCATCATCCTGGCCGCGAATAAGGCCGACTTGGCTCGGAAAAGATGCGTGCCGAACGAAGGTGAGTTCTTCTGTCCCTTTCTGATCGGAGTGGACGCAAGTCGGGGCGTCATTCCCATCGAGGATCGGCAGGTTGCCTTCGATTTGCTCCGAGCGATGCCGGGCTCGAACACAAACTACAGCTTTGCTGGCGTTGGCGGGCAGCCCTCTTCATTTCGGTTCGAAAAAATTTCGCACCGAACTTGGGGGCGCCTTTGTTTGTCCAAGTGGTGAAGTAATTTCTGAGGAGCTTCTCTGTTTTCTTTGCGGCGACCCTCGTGCAAATGAGACTCGACTGTGGGAGCGGAACTCTTCCGGAAACTCCCGGAAGTGGCGGAGTCGCCTGTTATTCCTTCAGCATGGGAAGTTTGACGGGTGGAACTCGCTCTGCGTTCCCATCTCTGTGTCTCCATCAGAGGGAGTCGCCGTCGATTCCGGGAGGTCGTCGCCTTCCTTGACCAAAGTGGCGAGCTCCTTCCGGAAGCATCGAACACTCGCTTCCGAGGACCAGAGCCACCTCGGAGGCGTATAGGACCCAAATTTGACACTGGACACGAGAGTGATACGGATTACGACGATAATAATTCGTGTCCGTACCCACCCGCTAGCGGCCGGGTCGGAAATTTCTGGACACGTCCTAACGATTCTACCCTCTGCGATCCCCGTTACAGAAGCCAAGACTTTCGCGAAGAAGCATGATTTGAAATTCATGGAAATGTCAGCCTGCATAGGACACAACGTTGACGATGTCCTCGTGAAGATACTCAAACAGCTCCGCCTCAAGCAACGCTCGGGATCCGTTCCCGCGTGGTGTAACCTCAACGTACCCATCCGTTCCCGGGCCGCATCTCTCAGTCCCGACCCGAACGCCCGTCGAGCTTCAGTATCGACCCTGTCCCCAACCACGGCTCGACGGCCATCGGTAGCTAGATCAATCTGCTATAAGGCCCGTGGCTTTATAAGCAAATTCTGGACCAAATGCGAATCTTTGAGAACTCATTCTTATGACGACATACACGTCCTGTAGACGCGAACGCTGATTTTCGAATTTCGAAGCATGCTTCTTAGTACATACTTCCTTGACGACGACGACAACAACAACGACGGCGCCGACGACAATAACGAGGAGTCGTCAACATGTTTGCTACCTGATCATATTTAGCTTCCGTCTCTTAGAGGCGAGTTTCTTATCCCTGATTGAGATATCGAAGACGGTAACCTTAGGCGATGTAAATCCCAGCGTGGAAGAAGTGGACGTACAACATTTTTCCGTGGACGGAGTAGACCCGACGGAAGTGCACCGTGATCGAGTCAGCTCCAGCGCGGAATATTCCATTAGATCGTCGTCGTCGTCTCAGGTAGACCGACGATCCGGCCATGAGAGGCTGTCAAAATTCATGGATTGGCAAGAAAGTTCTTGGACTCTGAATATCCCCATGCCGAAATTGAAAATTGTTCAGGAATCTCAAGTTGTGCTCACAAATTGTTATACGTGTTAATGTCACGACCCTCAGTTTATCGCGGGATTTGCGATCGGGCTGGTTACGATTCCTCCGGATTATTATGAGCCGCTCGGTGGAATGATGTGAGGAGTCGAAAGAATTCCGTCGATAGTTTCCCACCCAGAACAAGAGTAATATCGAGAATTTAGTTTTTCAGCATTCGTTTAGATTACGTGTTCAGGGAGTCTGACCAAAACGCTTTGATCGATCTACTCCGGCTTCAGTTAGCACTGGACTCGATCCTTAGAGGAGCCGAAGACCGAGCTGACGAGGCTGACCTCGAACAAAGTGAGCTTGTGTGATAATGGAAGTACACAGCTGTTGAGCAAGCTGGATGAAATGCATCATTTTCGATGTATGATTGATCCTCAGCGCGATATCGGGACAGTAGCAATATCGCTACATACTTCCGACGCGTGGGAGCGGCCGTCAGAACTCCGTGATGTCGGACTTACGGATCACCGTGCCACACATCGAGCTGATCGCTCACCTTGATCCTCTATCTCGAGTCCCTCGCGCCTCGAGCAGTGGAACCGAGCAGGGAAGAAACTTCCTCGCTATTCGGAGCCTAAAGGACATGAGATGCAAAATAAATTTCTTGTGATCAAAGAGTCGGCGAGTTTCTTAGGTTCAACGCCAGTCCCGAGGCATCGTACGTAATTCACTCACTTCTGGCTAGGTTCAGCGAGTGCGCTAGGGAAACCGTCAGAGAGGGTTAGAAAACCCTCATTTTCCTTCAATTTTTTTCGAAAAGCTGTGGAGTGCTGGTCAGCGCGCATTCCCCCCCAAATCTAACCGACGACCCCAAACGTGCCCGCTCCCTCTTCGGCCGAGCCCGGGGGCTGTGCGAGCCGCGACCCAGAACTTCCCCGATTCAGAGGTTAGCGGTGGATAAGAGAGGAGTGGCAAGCAAGGTGAGACGCACGTTGGTGGCGAATAAGGCGGCTGGGTAAGGGAGATCTGCACATTGCATGTTGAGTTCTAATCAATATTCGTAGGGCATTCACGGGGTCGGGCCGTCTTGTACGGACGGTCATGGGGACGAATCTGACAGCAGAAACGTCTCTTCGAGCGGCCGCCGGAATAGATTCCTGTGGCCAGGACGACCCGGAGCAGGAACAGCTCCAAGAGAATGAACTCATGCGGTCCACGGAACTTTCGGCGTGCGCTCACATGCGCCGCAATATCGATTGTATTGTTGCGAGCCATCACGGGGTTATCTCGATCACGCCACTCGACAGATGTTGTGCGCCAGAAGCTCGCGCTTTCCTGGTCTGCCTGATTTTTAACCAGAAAGATTTGCTTGATGGGCTCTTTCCGCCCATCATCATCGGCGCGGCGTCTCCGCTGTTTGTTCGGCGTGGGCCCAGGTCGCTTAATGAGGATAAGCATGCTAACAGATTTCTTAATGATCACGTTCTGGAAGGGGTCGCATGCCGAAAAGCGGAAGGAATTTCTGCGTCGGTATGCACGCCAGCGAGCTGACGCATGCGAGCCGGGAGAATTACTTTTCTCGGAGATTGCCCAGTCTGAGGCTTGAAGTCTGGAGATTTCCATGGCCTGATCCGAACGGACGTGAACGCGGACGACCTGGTCAACAGGGAGGCCCAGGAGAGTCCAGTTCCCTCTTCCACCATCGGGACAAGAATTAGCACTCGTGTATATCTTATTTTCCCCGGACACAGTAACTTCCTTGTTCCGTTCTGATTAGGTTTCGCTTCTCCGTCAGTTTCTTCCCTTCATGTCCTTCCCCCTACATCTGCAGAGATCGAACTCACAAGGGTTAGGTCAACACTGGCAGTGCGGAAGTCCATTCGATGATTGACTCTTCCAGCGCTCCCGGGAAGTCACCGAGTCTTTTCATGAGGTCCAGACTCTCGAGTCCAGCCTCCCGCCTTCGACGACTCGTACTGACTCAATCTTGATCCACGCTGGGGATATCCGTTCAAACAGCTACGGTGATGTCGCTGAGCGGAATCCGCCTCGCTTCGTGGGCGTGCGTTTCCATTGTAATAATTCCGAAAAATCAATCCCGGTGATATGGCTTACGTCAGATAAGCCTGACAGGTTGTTGACTCCATCGATATGTCATATTGAGTGCCCCGGGCAATTTTTCGACGGACATCCGCGCTTGGTTATACGCTTGGGTACGAGAGGGATCGAAAATTGCGGCGGACCTTCCCCGACCAGCTTACTTAGCTCTCTGCCAGCTCTAGTTGATGCTCGTACCTCGCCCAGATTGGAGCGTAAAGGTTGGTGTTGCTAATAGGCCCCATTAGTTTTATTGACTATTGAAACGGTCAGTCAGAGGATATCCAGTCAAATTAACACCGAATTAGGTGATCTGATCCCTGTCGCAGCTCGTAAAGAACAAGATAGCCTATTCGGGTGCAGCCTGTCAGTCAGGATCACTGACAGATTGAAGCGGCGGCTGTCGCTGCTCGACTCGATTCTCTAGCTCGAAAACCCACCGAGAGCATGTCAGAGCGCCGTTCGTGACCTTCTTCCGAAAGTAGTCGGCAATCCAAAGCTCGAGCCGAGAATCAAGGTCAACTGACAGCCGTCGTTCCGAAATCGGGCAGGATGTCGCTTGTGGTGATGATTTTGTTCTGGCCTTCCCCAGAACCCTAGCGAGACTCCATGTCAGCCTTCAACTAGTTCCGGCTTTTCCAGACCCCCAGACCCATGAGAGTTTATCTCCGTAGCTGCTGACCTCGGATGGGCTGCAATGCAACGCCGCATTGTGGACAGTCATAGTGAGGGGAACTCCCTCGTACGTGGGGAGTCGGCGATCAGCTCACGTTTCTCAACTCAGTTTCGAGTTTCGACAGCGCTGCGAACAGTTGCAGCGTCGGAAATCGACGAACAGATCCGTGCCCCGCTAATTCTCCAGGAGTCTTCCGACAACCAGGATGATTGCCCCGAACGCATTTCTCGAAATTCCATCGTGCTCCGGTCAGAAGAGCGCCTTTTCGGACCTCACCCGTCGAATCATCGAATATTCTCTGGAACCAAAAAGTGTGAAAAAACCACGCGTCCTCATGCTCTGACTGTACGAAAATTTATTCTTCGGTTCCTTTATGACTCTAAACGAGATAAGAACTTTTGGTATAGCTTTTGTTTTCTGCTAAAAAGCTCAGAGGTCGCAGGTTGTTTGTGTGCGGAAAGCTCTTTGTATTGCATTGAGCTCCAGAAACGGGGGTACGCTTAGGTCTATCAACCGTACACAGAGCCACGTTGCAATATACCAACGCAATTAGATTTATTTGGCATCAGCAACAATATGCCACGTGTCGATTGCGGCTGACAACTGACCAAGCTCTCATCACCGTCTCATCACAAGCTCTCAGTCAACGGCGAACTCGCACTAATCAGGCTCAGCTTTGTTCGATTCGATGCGATCGCGAACTTTCTGCCTCCGGGAGACCCTGACGCGGTTCGAGTGAAGTTTCCGGACTCGATCCAAGTCTCTCCATCGATCCGATTTTGGCGGAGCCCTCCTCTTTAAAATTGATTCCCGCCTGTCCTGATCCTTCCCAACCCCCCTGAACCAAATTTCGGATGCGCAGCGACTCCATCAGACACGGTCGAAACGTCTACCACGCTCGTAAGTCTCCACATCCGCGCTGCGATAGACTCGCCTCAAGCAGGGAAACTTATTGTATGTCGCTGTTTAATCAAGGTCGGCTCGGAGTCTTTACTTCGTTCAATGTTACTTTGTGTCGGAGATCGATCGATTGTTCTGAAAGCTCATAATCTCGTATCTGTCGCGTGCAGAGTAAACAAAACGGGAGGGCGTGATTTGAGCATGGATGTCTGTCTATAGAACGTGCAAGTCATCATAGGAATGCGTCTTTAATGAATCGCACTTGGTCCAGAATTTGCTTATAAAGCCACGGGCCTTATAGCATATTGATCTCGCCACCGATGGCCGTCTGACCGTGATTGGAGAGAACGCTGTTATTGAAGCTCGATGACCGGTGGGATCGGGACTTAGGGACGCGGCCCGGGAACGGATGGGTACGTTGAGGTTACACCACGCGGGAACGGATCCCGAGCGTTGCTTGAGACGGAGCTGTTTGAGTATTTTCACAAGGACATCGTCAACGTTGTGTCCTATGCAGGCCGACATTTCCATGAATTTCAAGTCATGCTTCTTCGCGAAAGCTTTGGCCTCTGTAAGGGTTCGAGAGAGAAGAAAGTTGTTAGCGATTTCCGACCGGAGGATGATGCCGAGAGTAAGCTGATTCGTCGAGCCCGATCCCACCTAGGTAGGGCATCTCGGGACTAGCGCTTGTTCTCGGCGATAGGAAATCTCCGAGCTGGGTGCAGAAAAATCCACCCGTAGCGAATGGCACTGCGTCCTTCGATGCGTACTCGTTTGAAAGTCGATTCGGATTCTTCGTTTCTGAAGGCATGGGAGCATCGTTCGCGTTTGGAGAAATAATAAGCAAAGGCTTCGCTGCAGGAGCTCGCATCGAAGCCCCGTTCATTGGGCGCCCAATTACGCGAATGACTGTTCTGACAGAGGAACGGGCGAACTCCTCGACCACCGTCGCTCCATAGCTCGCCCGAACCAGAACTTGTCGGGCGCGAAACAGAGCCGGCAGAACAATATCCATATCCTGAAACGCAATATCGACTCTCCGGGAGAGATTCTGGATCCGAGCAGGGAAGTGTCCGCGAATCTCGTCGCAGATCTATCGCAACGGAAACCATCTCGCGATGTCTGGATCGAGACTCGCTTGTTTCTCTCTGGAGACCTTCAGAGCGTTGGAACTCTCGTTTGTCTCCGCGTGCCGATCGGTGATTTTTGCTCACTGGATGCCGTTCGCGATTTCGATCGTGATGAGAATGCAGGCTGCAGTTTCCGAATTTACAATGGAACGGGCGTGCGAAATTTTCCACATGTGGATCGGTGGAAACTTTTCTCGTTGTCCCTCCAGATCGCTCCGAAAGACCTCTGTTTGCTTCGTCTTGGCTCGGACAAAAACGCAGCTAAGCGCTCCTCTGCAAAAATTATAACCTACATGGAGTGGAGGGAAAGCTTCCACGCTTACCTTCGTTAGAGACGCATCTCCTCCGAGCTAAGTCGGCCTTATTCGCAGCCAGAAAAATCGTTTTCGTAATGGGCCGGCTAAGCGTCGTGTTGGTCGCTGACGATCTCCGACGTCCTTTTGAATACCCACAAAGCGTACGAAGCTCGCAAATGGCGTCCTCGGCGAAATTCCAACTTTCCCGGTCCGTTATCGAATACACGACTACGAAAGCGTCGATCTCTTCGATGTGTTGCTTTGTGATCTGCGCAAATAGACAAGAGAGCGGTGAGGAATTTGAGAGACGAAATTCTAAACGCAGATCTCCCACCAAAAACCACAACTCCAGAGGGAGCGGTGATTTTATTTGTCCCGCTCCCCGAGTCGGGACTCACTCCTGCCAGTCAGCGAGGGCATCCCTAGACAATTTTTGAAAAGGTCACCGATCGCAAGCGAGCCACTGTGCGGTGGGGATTCGAAATGCGGAGCTGTCTTTCAAAAATGTTGGCAATTCAGGTGGACAGCGCGTCTCGAGCGGGATCGCTGGAGGGCCAGGGAGTAGAGAAAAATTGCCGTTTTGGCCACCTACCACGTTGTCGGTGGTTTCATCGAACTCGACCTCGAATTCCTCGCCGTCAAGCATCACCCGCGTCGACTGAGTGTCCACACTGTTCCTCGCGGACGAAGGCGGGCTCGTAACTGGAAGAATGAAATGAAAATTAGCTACCGGAATGTTTCGTGAGGATACACTCTACTCACTTCCGCGCGACGACGGAACGAGAAATGTGAAGAGCAAAGATCAGGCAGCAGGAGTTTATCGTTTCCGACTCTTCTTGCGCATATCAGACTTCCTTCAGTGGAAAGGGGGAGGTCTGGGGCGAGTTCAAAACCAATCGGGGGCCCGCGGTGCGGAAAATCTCTTCCCATTGAAGCAATCGGACCCTCGTTTCCGCAAAGTCCCCTCGTGAGGAGCGGAATGCCGGAAATCGTTTTGTTCGCCTGCTAAATGGGGAGCTCCGGAGAATAGATTCCCGTCGAGGGAGCACTTACTGATTTCAAGGTGACCGTCCTCATTAACGGTGTCGGTACAGCCTTCGATGAATTGCCGAATCAAGCAGGATTTCCCAACTCCTTGACTTCCAATGAGTCGCACCCGGAACAGAGGCGGTCCGGTGTCTTCGGGATCTTCGGTGCATGAGCTCGTGCTCCGTCGGCGTTCTTCGAGATTCGATAGTACAACGTCACCTAGGTTCAGGATATTCCCCCTCGACGTTATAGAAAACGATCGGCACCGGTAGCCCGAAGGCGGCTCGAGATGGGATTTGGGTGAGCTCACCGCACCGGGAGAGCGTTTCCGGTGGAATTCGGCCCAGGGGTCTTCGTCGAGCTCTTTCCATAAATTCCGACCGTTCGGGGATCGACTTCCGGGCACTCCTAGCGATCTCCGTCTTCCTTTGGTCTGTTTGTTTCTATTGCGAGATATCCGATTGGGACTTGCCGACGCGGACGATACCGGTGACCGGCTCGGGGGGGAAAGATTGTTGGACGTGGCTCTCGGCGTATCGGAGCAGAACTCCTTGAACAGCTGATGCGGTGAAGTACTGAGGTCGGGCACCGATAAACAGTGCATGGAGTCATTTTTTGGAACGCACAAGCTTTGGCACACCGAGTACTCTGTGTAAGGTTCACTGTGCCGCTTTTTCGGCTCAATTACAGGAGTCACTGAGAAATCGACGTACATGGTGATTTATGCAAATAGCGATTTGAGTATCGATCGTTGCAGGGACGGCAATGCAGTCCGAACGGGGAACTTGCCGATCAGTGAACTTTCCGATAGGAAATATCGGCTCGAGTTCATCGGAAGGAAAGTTCCTGCACGTGCACTGTACAAGCTAGACTGGAGATTCCCTCGTTGGCTGGGGCACCTTTATAAGAACCTCGACTCCCGTAGGTGAGGGCATCGGCAAGGGTAGCTCCAGCCGTCAAACCTCTCCCCCTCACTGATCGAGATCCTGCTGACTCAAAGCCGGGGCGATCGCGGGTGACGTCATGCTGCTTTACTCAATGACGGAAACGTCGCGCGTGCATTCACAAAAAAGAGAATTTTTATCCGAAGGAAGAATTTCCAGCCAGAGCTGGTTATCTATTTCTGCAAAGTTGATCACGTCTATGAAAATAAGGGCCGTCTCGTTGCAATAAATACCTCACGGAGCGCCCGTACGCCAATCGAAAGGTATGCAGAGCGCTCCGTTTCTTCCTGACCTACTGACACAGAGAATTCGGACTCGAGGGAAGAGATGAGCAAGCCACGACGAGCCCCCGATGAACGTACATATGGCACAAGACTCCATTTGAAAAACGCACGGAGTTAAAGGTTGGATTCATCCGCATCCCACGCGGAGCGACTCAACGGAACTATTGGTAGGACAAGGGGAAGTTCGTTTCCTTCCTGACTGAAAACATCAGACTTTCGTCGTTCGGAATCGATCATGAAAAGGTTCCAGATGACGTGCCATTCATCCAGACTTCATTTCATGGCCGCATGTCTGTTCCCGCAAGGCATATCATTAGACTTCATGTCAGTCTTCTCGCGGCTCAACTCAGAAGAGCTCAGGTCTCTATCGAGAACCTCAAAGTTCTCAACAAGAGAATCGTCACGAGCATCAGTCTCCTACAAGTTCCAAGGAATCATATTGGGTAGCGAACCCTTCTTCAATGTTCAAAGCAGATCTGATTGGGCATGAAGCGATGAGTGGATTAGGGGGAGAAGCTGAGTTTCGCCGTCACAATCGTTATCGGCACTGGAAGAGTTGCGAGCATGGGAACTAGAAACAAGTTCTCTTTCCGGTTCCATCACTGTTCTGAGCCGCATTCATTCGCCCAGAATATTACGAATCGAAACCACAGCTGATGAATTATTCCACGACGAATGAGGGAAGCGAATCGTTGGCGCGGACAAGAGAGAAGACAGCGACTTCATCATCGCTCCTCTTATATACATGAACTTGGAGCGACCCGTTTCCCGAATTTCCGCCAAAAAAAAATTCCCCGGCCGTCGAACGCCTCACGAGCGTCGGAAGCACGAAATCGGAACGAGAGCTCTTCTTCCGAGAGATCTGTCGCGCTTGCAGTTCCAGAGAGAGAGCTCTCGAGAGCCCTAGTCGCTGGAACCCGCGAATTTCCTTCGATTTACGCAGAAGTGAATGGCGAGCTTCTTTCAGCGGGAGGCTTCCTTCCCTGAGGCCTCGCTCTTCCTCTGGACTCGGAACAAGACTTGACTTTTGCGTCCCGCTCCGTTCGAGTCCTTCGATTCTAGCCTCGACGAGTACGAAAGGATTATATTCCCCCATTCCTCGCGATTTTCCGAGCGGAAGCGAGGAGCTCCGAATTCGCTGGAGATGACTCAACCGGGGACTTTGTGAATGTCACAAACGATCCGAGCTCGGCGGCCCGAACTTGGCTCTCGACGATGATCTGATTGTTGCACGTGTACCCACTCGTCCTGGAAGTGACTCGCCCACGACCATTTGTCTCGGCTTTCGGCATATGAAGGCCCCCTCACACCGAAACGCGATGGATTTATCACACGAGAACCCGTGTCGCAGAAGCGGCTCCACGTTTCCCTTCCGGGGCGCACGCTCTCCTCCGTTAGGAACACCTATTTCTCCAAGGAGTTCATCCGCGATTTGTAAGCTTAGCGATTTGCGCTGAGCTCTTCCCACGGTTACTGACTGCTGCCAGTGATCGCTGCCGGAGATTCCTGCCCGGAGCCCGCGCCCTGGGGACGATTCATGGCTCGCCCGACTGAGCCTGTCCGGCTTGCTTGACTTCTCTGGAATTCGTTGCCCGAAATCGATTTCGCCGGCGACCGGCGCCGGCATCGACGCACCTCCCGGATCGTGGTAATTGATGGAGTCAGCGACGTTGACCACCGATCCATTTCGACGGTTTCACCCCCCGATCTTTCAACGGTCGCTTTCAATTTCCTCGGTTGAAGGGACTCTCCGCCTAATTCGGAATATCGGAGAAGCGATTGCCGCTCCAGGGCCGAGCACCGAGGCAAAATTCCTTCTCGTTTCGTGATGATTTTTCAAGGAGAACCGAGGCGCATTTCGGAGGGTGCCAAGGGTTCGAAATGATGACTCGCCTTCTGGATGCCTACGCCACAGCACTTAGAGCGGGGAGTTTCGGAGGGAGCGGGGCATTGTGTCTGCTGCAGTCACGCTCGTGAGTTCCCCGTGCGTCGAGGTATGATCCGGCGTCTTGACGCCCACGTTGTCGCAACGTTTCGCGAGCCTTCGCGGCGAGGAATGAGTGGAGAGGTTGCGGTCTTCCCCGCGAGACCTTGCCAATCATCTCCTCTCATATCGTAGCTCTCTCACGTCACGGCAGTCCGAAAGCTCATCCCAAGCGAGATGGTGTAAAAGCCCTCGAATTATTCGGAATGCCGCGTTCCGCTCACACACGGCAATCACGCAGCAATCCAAAAGCGTGTGCAGTGAGAGCCGGCCATTTGGACACTTCTAAGCACGAATTCTCGAAGGGGATCTCGCTTTTCCAAGTCAACGAGTGAATACGCCGGGCACCGCTCCGTATTCTCTCAGACAAGTTCCACCGTCCCAAGACCCATGCCGCATCCTATCTGCCGTAATGAACGAGTTCCCGACGAAACCAATTCATCAGGGGATAAACATGAATCAGAAAGACGCTCGGGAAGGACGACAAGCTACCTCGAAGGTCTTTACGAATTTTCTCGGATCGCGAATGGTCAATCATTAGCCCCATTAAATGAGTGTGTATACTCTTATCTGGACGACCGCTCCGTATCCTCCAGCCTCTTGGAGGATCAGCTATCGTAGGGCTTGCGAGACATGAAACCACGCAAACGTGGGAAAAATGCACCATGATGGATGCAATATCCGTATCCGTGACGCTGCGTAGAACAAATCTGTGAAGGCTCATCGATCGGCAGCTCTCGATCATCTGCTGGAGGGGCTCGGAATGATGCCATTTTTCCCGCGCACACCCGTCTTCCTCGAATTGCGATGCTCATGGCAGTTGTGACGGGAGGCGTCCCTTCACAGTAACTACGCTCGTCCGAGACAGTCTCGCGTCTCGCCGGAGTCGCCGCGTAAAATGATTTTCGGAGGGTGGCCTACGCCTACGAAATTTTCGTTCGGGAAATCGACCCATAGCGCCGGAGAAATAGCTTATGACATGCGAAGTACCGCGAACCGTGGTCCCATGTAGTCCACACACTCGGCCTCTGCGCTTCCCGAAGTACATTTACAGCCAGCGAACTCGACGTGCCTACCGACGTCATTGCGATTTCCCCGGAATCCCGGCTTGAGGTTCAGGACTGCATAGAATAAGCCTTGTCAGGCTTTTCTGACAATAATACTAGAGCTCGAAGCTCAGGAAAGCGCGTCTTTATCTCGCGTCACTCTCGGAACCGCAGGCATAAACGGTTTCGAGCTGATTCCCGTTTAGCCCCCTATGGATATTGGGGACCCCTAGCCACTACTGGGTATATGTCAGAGTTGATCATAAATCGTTCCACAGTCACGGCGGATCATGTCACGGCTCACATGAGTCACAAATTGTGGCCCTCAGGAACATCCAACATCGGGGCACGAGGGTAGCTCCTACCCGTAGTCAGCTCAGCGTTGGGGACTGTCCGGAACCAATTTTGGAACTCATTCGTTTTCTATTCACAACGAGAAGGAACTCTCTCGTCAGTTCATTACTTGCAACTCCTGCTGCGACCCCCATCCGATGAACGATGCTAATTTCCACCAAGCAGAACTTGCTCTCTCCTTTGACTCCAGTTTCGAGCTTCCGACGTCGAGGTCCTTTTCCGTCTCAAAACACGACCGCTCCCGGAGACCGCTGTTTTCCCCATACCGCTCAGAATTCCGGCCGAATCCGATGGTGATCAGTAGAGCCTGGAACTTCAGGCAGAATGCCATAAGTGCCTCTTTTTGCCTTATACCGTTTTTTTGGCGACATTTTGCCTTTTCTACGTTTTCTCGAGGCATTTTGCCTTTTCCACCCTAGAGTCAAGTTCGAATGTTTCTTGGCAGGTTTTTTTCGGGCAAGACTTAAATCTGGTAGCCGGAGAAAGCTACATTTGCTCTTCTACTCCGACTACGTGTCGGACCAAAGCTTTTCTCAGTATTATGGTATCGATCCCCGAGACTCTGTCGCGCGTGAATTGCCTCCGCCACGAATTCGGTCCTGCACTGAGCTCCACCATGTCGTCGCGATTTGAGTATGAGTCTCGGCCCACGGACTTTCGAGAGATCGCGGCAGAATCATGATAGGTACCAGAAAAATAATTGAAAATCTCGGAAGCAACGATGCCACCGCAACTGGAAGGTCGGAAGACTTGCTGGAGCTCTCATGTTCCGAATACGCTCCATTGGTCAGCGTGAATGAGGGGCGCTCTTTTTCTCGTCATGAAGCCCTCAGATCATTGACATGGCCTCACCACCGGGAATGCGAGATACCATGCTATCGCTGATTGTAATGCTCAAATGCTCATATGAGAGGTATATTCGATAAGAATTTCGACATTTTTCCGAGCATCACTTATGTCTCCCGATGATTTTCAGTGCCTTTTTCCTCGTTTATAGTGCCTTTTCCGTCGATTGTCGGTGCCTTTTTGCCTGCCTTTTCTCGGGTTTTTCAGTGCCTGAAAGTCCAGGCCCTAGTGATCAGCTTATAGGAAAAGTTGTTCTA